ATATATATATATAATACGAATATATTAGCTCGTCTGCAGTAGTCGGTAGACAGGACTAGTAGTAAGCCTGTGCGAATGAAATAAATGCAGTACTCACAGGACTCCGAGAAACCGCTTTGCGCGAGTTCAATGGTCACGGTTGTAGATAAACAGCCCCGGTGGTCTTCCTTCTGTACTTAAATAAATATGACTGCCCAATAAACCAGGAGAAAACCAGCTCACACACTTAGCTCTGTGATGGTGAAGACTGATCACGGATTGGGCGCACGTATGCGCGCTCGTGGTTTTTCCAGCCAATCCAGACGCGAGAAGGTCTTGTTATCGAACTCTGTACTGTGGCAGTTCCCATTCGAATCATCCCCACTCACGAGCTATTCGAAATTAGGTAGTCAACACCGCGCCAACAACGTAGGATAGTCAGGACGATCCGGAAGAATACGTGTCGAAATGAACGCGTTAGTTAGGCCTTGGCGGAAACCGGCATAAAGTCTGCTTATGACGCAGATAAGCAGTTCTGAAGATAACGGAATCAAGGCATACGTTAGGATTCCTGGCAACTGTCGGAAGGGGCATTGGATTGGCGGATTTTCTAAGTATTTCTTGACGAGAGCGGAATTTAAGGTAAATCCGACGGGGATGGACAGAAGTGGTCATAGACTGCCAGACCTACTAGGCTTCAGGTAGAACAATTTCAAGCGAACAAGCGATCCGTTCCCACAAGTTTCACAGTCAGGGACTGGAGAGGCACAGGCTTCACAGGCGGATTCCGAAAAATCATCTAAAAGAAACGTCACGATGTAGAAATATCACTGAGCACAAACCGGGAGTCCAACCGAACGTCGGGGAATCAGCTCGGAATCACACTCACCTTTGGGACTTTTGAAACGAGTGCTTTGTTGAAACCAAAGTTGACCATAACGGCGTCTATATTCTCCATTGGTAGTTGCATTCAAATCAGTTGGGTACTGAAAGTGGAGGAATTAGAAACGACGGTGGGAATCAATCATGAATTCCATTAGGGGAGAAGCCTTGGACATTTGAACTAACGCAGTGAATGAAATCGCTTTGTTGAGTAAAGCATCTATTTGAAGAAAACCATTAAACTGGAGGTTTGATCCTTGTTAAAATCGTCGGCAGGCCTCACCTTCCACATTTTTACTGAGATTCACAAAAACAAAACCTTGAAATATTATTCAATTGAATTTTACACTTTTAGAAAATAAGCCGATAAGTCGGGACAGCTCAGGCGCGACGTACTGATCGAAAGGTTCGTGGTGCGAACCCCAACCCGAGAGCTCAACTGCTCCTACCTAGCCTTGGGCAACCCGGCATTATCTCAGCCCTCGTGCTTCCTTCGGCTGACATGGCAGCTAGGCAACGAAAAGGTGCTACAGCTAAACGATTATTTATGATTATTAATAAGAAAGCCCAACCACTCTCCACACCAGCAGTACGCCGATTTTGACTACCTCACCAGGATACGGCAGTGAAGAATTGGCCTTCAAAACTGATGTCATGCTGACGACGATGATGATCTCACCGAATAGATTACTTATAGTGGAACACCAACAGGTTATCTATCGTCACCTTGATGGTATGCTAGTAGCCGTATATACAACGGGGAACGCGGTAATAGCATTACGCTGAAAGAGAATGGGGTTGGCACACGAGCCGGTACTATAATGATAAACAACTAAGTTCGGTGTTCGCCATTATTCCATCGTATTTCGAACAACTGACGGCTTGTAAGAGAGCTCCGTGCAGTGAAACTCAGCAACGGGTACGTACGACTACGGTAGAAGATTTTAAAAAAAATAGAGATAATCATTTAGCTGTAACACGCGTGCCTAGCTTGGCTGCCATGCCACCAGAAGGAAGCACGAGGGCTGGGATAATCCCAGGGTGCCAAAGCCTAGACAGGGGAAGTCGATAGGCAGAGGTCCGGTTCGAACCACAGATCTTTCTGTTAGTAAATTCGCGTTCTAACCACTAAGCCATCTCGCCCAAGACTATGGTAACCGGCCGGTGGTTTGACAAACGTAGAAACTCACGGATATGCTCGCGGAAAACTACAACCCCGTCGGAAAAAAGCTATCTGGACTATCTATCAGTCACGAGTTAGCGGACGTCTTCAAAAAGAGTCCCGTCGGGGTAAGTCAGATGATCTTTCATGTCTTGATCTCTGCTGGGAAATGCTGCGATAAGCTTATGCACACAAATGAATTTAATTGATTAATTTAATTAAATTCCCAGCATATCTTACCACTGTTTACCAGAGCATAAACCAGTGTACTGTACGATGCCCAACTGGATCAAACACGTGAAAACTTTTCGTCGCGTTCGTTAACGATTCCAGTCGAAAAAGGCCGCATCAGATGTGTGACCACTGCAAAGGATGTCGTGAACCGAAATACATCCGAAAGTAAGCCTTTGGGAGAAATAACTCACCCTCGATAGATGAACTGATCACAGTGCACAGGTTGCGCTGGTTGGCCACGTGCCGCTGGCTTGGCCACGTGCTGCGTATGCCAGTCGACCGACTTCCTCGAAGGGCTCTTTTCGCACAACCACGTGAAGGGTGGAAACGAGCCAGAGGCGGTCAACCAATGACTTAGCAGTGAAGTGTGAACGCCATTACCAGCAAACTCAGCTGTGCTGGTCACTGCTGTCATCCTGGATGGGGACCCCGAGACAGGCCACATCAACAGTTAGAGACATTGTCAGACATGGCCCAGTCGCGCCCTCAATGGCACTCGAGCATCCAAGCTATTGCCTTCAATGCATGGTTCCTTTTCCAACCAACCCCCCACACCACTTTACAGCCAACTGACAGTGCTGGATTCATGCACCAATTTATCAGCTCCCGCCTGCAACACGCAGCTACCTACCCCTTCCCCAAAAACCATCGGTGAACGAAACTGCGGCAGCTACAACCACTGTACGACGAGTACGCGGTTATTACAGCTGACAATGATGATGATGAAGCGTTACGCCTATTCTTTACTCTCTAATGAAGGACAGTGCGGCTCATGGCGTTCGTTCTAAATTATCACAAGACCTTATAGCAAGTTATCGTACAAAGCAGCATATATAACACAGTAATGTAAAGTATTACAAAGTACAGTATGGCATAGTGTGGTAAGGTACAGTTTTAGTACAGTATACTATAATATACTACACTATGCTACGCTGCACAGTAAAGTCTTGCCTCATATTACAGTAGTACACCTACATAAGCATTCGTAAATCTTGCACCACAAGAGGCTCTCTTCTTCACGTGACCAACATCTGGGTGAATCAAGTGCATTTTTCCCTATCCACGTCACGTGGTTATTGGGCACTGAACAGAAGAGACCATCCAGCGCCCGCTCTGTGATCGTGCTAACGCCATAGGTTACAGTAATTCACACGAGTGATAAAAAATACCGCTTTTCGAGGACGAAACCAATGGTGAGTGATTTTTTGTTCCAGTTTCATCTTCAATTTCATAGAGGATGACTCATCAATTCAAGTACTGCTGAAAGGAGCTGAGTTCCACGGATCTGAGCTACAAAGGATCAGTTACATAAAACCTTAGCACGGTTATAAAGGTCGGAAAACTTCCATCATTGAGTGAACACCAGTGCAAAATCACTTCTCACATCGTGTGAAACGCCTTTGCAAACCGTTTATCGAGTGTGGCGAATAAATCAACTGTCACGTGACCGCAAGCCAACAAATAGATGCGTATAACAACTGACCACAACCTCTTACCTTCATGTCTTCAGCCGCGGGCCTGAGTTCAAAGTTCGAAGCTGAAAAACAAATAAAAATGGCGAGGGTGACAGATTCGAACAATGAAGATTCAAAGAGGTGAAAGAATGAGGACGGCCTTGGTTTCTGAGGCTTACGATAAATCAGATCTTGCGTGCATCGATATCGAACAAGCTACCAGAGGGTCAAAAGGGGCATAGTTTTTGCAACTATGGATGCAGGTGTGATCGATAGGTGAGTGCAAAATGTAAATCTCTGAAATGCTTGCTGGTATAAACAGGATGACGGTTTCAAATTAGGAGAATCTATTTTATTTTTTCTGTAGATTGCACAAGTGCCACAGGCACACACCGAATACGGTATTCTCGTGAGAAACTGACTCGTCGTCATTCGAGGAACCAGTTAATGTTTGGTCACACGATGTGAATTGCGTGACTGAAGAATGGGTGTGAATTAGTCACAGTGCTGATGAGCGGCTTGTGGACTACCAGCCAGGAGGTCGCCGATTCTAATCTCACTACAGCCTCGTGAGATTCATATTGATTGTCGCCTTTTTGACACAGATGTATCTTACCTAGAGAACAAAGCCTCAACAGAACTAGCAAGACAAGTGACTAGACGAAACAGGCCCAAATACACCCAGGTGGATCTGGAGGGAAGATGAAAACCAACCTACTCGTGCGCAAAAGGAGAAGGACTGGCATGAACCATGCATTCAGTACTGTGACTTGATAAGGCTGCCCCCAGCACTAAGCAGCTGTTAGTTGGAAGCAGAAATACTAACTGGAAACATGATGACAACGTAAAAACAGACCTAACGTTGAAGAACATTGGCTCGATTCAACAACCATACCGACGATTTTGTTTTGCCGGTGTGGAAACATCCCCACATTAAAAAAAACTGATCAGTATCGGAAACATGACTGGTTGGTAAGCAACTTAATGAAGTAACATGATGCTGTGAGAAAGTAAAACAGAGGTGCATGCTAACGAGTTGACTGTGATGGGTCATCGCAAAGTATCGGACGCCAATGGTGGGCGAATCACTTACTCAAAAATTTGTTTTTAAACGGTAAATGCAGCGCCTTGTCCGGTACGGAGTCTTCCCACAGCTTTCGCACATCAGGACGAATATCTGTTCGGTGGTAGGCAGAGAGGAAACGAATCGCAATATGACATAGGACAGTAGATAAATCGGTAATGGGCTGTGCGGATGCGTGTGGAGAACGGATACCACACAGTGATCGGTCCCCTGATTGATGACTATCATAGCTAGTGTCAAAGTTGTGGAATTTACCGTATGGCTCATCAGAGTTTACGTAAACAATACGTCAACAGTCGGAAGATGTGCCGCTCAAATAAAAGAGGTAGCAGAACGTCCGTCACAAACTAGAAGGGTGATGCTATCAGCTGGTGTAACGTAGGCGATAAGTTCGATAATTTAAATGATATTTCAGCAGACAAATACATAGAGTCACAGAAATCTAGTAGTGACAAGTGATTCACGTGACCCGGACAAGGTTGCTCAGACTTAAACACGGGTCACCAAAGAGCCATCAATGAATCGGAGATGTGAACCTCCTAGAAAAAGGCTTGTGCTTTAAAACAAGACCGGTGACTACATTAGGGACAACTTCTACTTAATACAATATCCATCCTAAGAGTTTCCCTGACAAGTGTTCCTTGGCGGAAGAAGAACCGTACTGCATGCACTCTGCGGCGGGTTATCGAAATTGCACCGGCATCGATGTGTATCTTGTCGGCAGCTGGTGTAAGAATGGGAGAGAATCATCTGTTTCGTCTGAAGTGAGTGCTTCAGCTGTTCATTATTCTTGCTTGCGAATCTCCCATCAGTTCCCATTTTCTAGTTTCCCATAAAATAGTGCTATATTCGTAATGCACTACTCATAAGGTTGCTGAAAATTTGTCGACAGCGAACGACCGGTTTTGCCCTTCTTGGGGCTCATCAGATAGGCGCAGTCCCCAAATTTCCGTTAACCTTATGTTCTACTTGCAACCAAATTGCACGAAATTAGCGAAATACACACATTCTCTAACAAAGTTGATTCCGCAAAAGACTCAAGTAGAATCGAGCTGAATCTCTCGTTTGTGATGTTTCAAGGCAAGTGAATGTGCTTCAGCAGGCTGCCTCATGTTTCAGTTGCTACGATATTCGACATATTGCAATACATGTACATTTGTAATGGATCATAAACGAGAGAGGCAGTTCCAGGTAAGCCTCATGTGAAACCAAATTTGTTCGCAAATAAGTTTAGTTCACTGATAAACTAGTGCTCTTCTCATCTGGCTAAGCTTGAATGAGGACCACAGTAGGTTATCACAAAGGCTTAGATCCATTCAACAACGACAACGGCCGTGATCATTGGAAACAGAACCATCTAAGTATCCAGAGACGTTTCTACCTGATCTTCGGGTGTATTACCTTCGATCACTATTTCAACTTTCAAACCTTTCACCGAACAGTGCGCATCCCAGAAGGAACCAAGACACAGCCGGTCAAAACTGTTCACTGATGTGGTGAATTAGTACTGATTAGTGGTGACCTCCTCCATCCCTTTTTAACTTTGTGATCGATGAAATAATGAGACGAACGCTGGAGGGTCTCCAAAACCCTGGTGTTCAAATAGCCTGCGGAGAAAACCTTGTCGATCTTGAATATGCAGACGACATCGTTCTCATGTTCGAAGAGGAGGAAAAGGCGCAAGTATTCTTGGATGAACTGACCAAAGTCATCCCGTCCTTTGGTATGCACTCTGCACCCACAAAGTGTAAGGTCATGCTTGTGGACGTGCAGTCACTGAACACGCCACTTACGATCCAGGGAGAGGCAGGCACTGGAAGTTGTGGAGCGTTTGACGTATCTTGGAAGTTGTATTAGTTCTGACTGTAGTGTGACAGATGAGGTGAATGCACGAATCTGCAAGGCTCGGGCCGCGTTTGCTAACTTGAGACACCTATGGCGTCAAAATGGTTTATCCCTGAATCTCAAGGGACGTGTGTATCAAGCTACAGTATGGGCTGTTATGTTGTATGGCTGTGAGACTTGGCCTATTCGAGCAGCGGACCTGAGACGTCTTCAGGTGTTCGACAATCGTATTCTCAGAACCATAGCTCGCGTGGGTTGGTGTCGGCGAATCTGTAATGAAGCAGTTAGAATGCGTGTTTTCGGTTGTGTAACGGGTACTTCCATTGAGGAATGTGTCCATCACCAGAAGCTGTGTTGGTTGGGACATGTGTTACGTATGCCGAACTATCGTTTGCCAATGAGAGTACTGTTTTCCATGTCCAATTCGGAGTGGCGTAAACAGAGAGGTGGCCAACCCTTGACTTGGTAGAGGAGTATGAAGGAGATCACGAAACGCTTGAGTGATGTCGGTGCTACTCGCCTTCCAGGATGGGGCCGCGTGATCCTCACTGTGCCTGGTTGGAGACACTACAAGATATGGCTGCCAACCGATGTCAGTGGTGTTCGTGTTGTCAGTTTCTGTCCAGATTGCCTGAGTGAA